CTTGCTGTATCCGGTGTGTGCTCAGCCCGTGAGTGTGGAGCAGGTCACTGTTAAAAGGCCAGGGCTTGCTCAGCCTCACATCGTCCCTTCCAAATAAAAAGCCAAGCACAAAGACACACGTCCCGCGAGCAGAGAGGCAGCCACATGGGAGCACACGAGCAGAAGCCGGGCGGAGACTCACCTGTGGTCTGCGGGATAGTCCAGCACTTCGGGACTTAGAAGCAGGAAGAAAGGGGAGGCATGCGATAAGCGCGAGAGGAATACACGGACCCTGCCCACACGGACCTGAGGGGCACTGAGCACAGCGTGGGCAATGGGCAGCTACCCTGGAGGGAAGCGGGAACTCAGGTGTCCCGGGGGACTGGCACTAATGAGGGTCAATTTGCATTGTGCCGCTTAGGGGTAAATTTGCAGGGTGCTGCTTAGTGGACTTGTACCTGGATTCTCGCCCTGAACTGGAACGTGGCTCCACCAGGATGGGCTCCGTCACGGGGACAGAGGGACTACAGGGACCTCTGCTAATGACCCAGCTCCCTTTTTTGCCTACTGGGACTTGCTCTGCCACCTACGTGCTGCCAGGAGGGCAACAGGACATTCACAGCTCCTGGCCTCCAGCCCCAATCCCCATCCAGAAGGGTCTTCAGCAGCCAACATGAAATAGATTGGTGGATCCCAGCCTTCTTCACCATGGGCAGGTGTCTGCCACCGGAGAACCGGGCTCCATGTTGGCAGAGGGGCCATGGAGTGAGGCAGGATGCCAGTCTCTGGGACTACGGATCCTGCAATACGATGGGCAGCTCTGTTCAGGTGTGCCATGGCCAGCAGGGACCAGAAAGGGAGTCGAGTAGTCAATGGGTGCGTTACCTGGGACATGCGCCCCAGATCTTTGTGCACGGAGGCTGCAGAAGCTGATTTCTAGCTGCCAGCTCTCAGGAGCAGCTTTGCCAGGGCAAGCCTGCTGCTGTGCCAGCTGCCAAGTCCCAGCTGGAGAAGGGATAAACTCAGCTACAGGTCAGGGCATGCACAGCTTGAGTGGGCACTGCCTGGCACAACTGTGGAGCAGCTCCCCAGGCAGGCTGGGAACCAACAGGAGGCAGGATGCAGTGGGCAGCAACTTTCCACTCGCCTGGAAGTGTGTTTGGCTCATGCCAGCTTAGAGGGGCTCGCTCTGCATTCAGCTGCACGGCAGAGTCAGCGAGCGAGGTATGCAGGGCTCACCCCGTGTTACTAACGGGGTGCTGGGGGTGCCCCCAAATGCCTGGGTAAGCCAGGCCCTCCCATGCTGCTTCCAGCATGCAGTGTCAGTCAGGCTGCTTTGTTTGCTGCCTCCCTTGGGGCAGACATGCGTGCATGCAGGCTTGCAGCCTCCAAACCCTTGTTCTGGATTGTGGCTCTGAGGGGATGGGATGGGATGAGATGGGAGGCGCTGGGCCGGTCACATCACACACATACACACACACACGGAGCACAGACTATGGTGATATCAACTGCGCTGCTCCCCATGCTGCATCCCATCAAGGCAGGCATGTGCCAGGCTTGCTCTGGAGACGACTCTTTTCCCTCTGCCAGACCTTGCTCTGCCTGGCATGGTTCCTGGCGGAGGGATCTCAGACCCAGCTCTGTGCTCCTACCTCCCTCCTTTATGCCCCGATAACTCCCAGGATTCGCCCCAGCTTCCCGTGGTGCAAAGCGGAGCAGATTCAGGTCCCCCCAGCCTTCTCGCTGCTCACTGATTAACCCCTTCATTGCTGCCAAATAGGGATTTGCCAGGGATCTCCCAGTCCCTTTCTCCCCTACCCCTCCTGAGCCCTTGCCTGCCTGTTCCCCTAACCCCACCTGAACGGATGAGACTAACTTGTGGGTGTTGCTGAGATAGGAGCCAGGCCCTACTACAGTCAGTGCCAAAACTCCCCATGCTTCCTTTGGGGCCAAGATGCCCCTCCTGGACCCTGAGACCAAAGCCCCTACATGAACCCCAGCAACCCCCTCTGCCCCATGACCCTGACTGTGAAATGGAAATGGCCCCATTGCAAAGCCCTGCTCTTCCCTGGTCCTATGACCCCCCCCAGACACTGGGGATTGCCCGCTCTCCAGCCTTGGGTACTGTGGCAGGGAGCGGAGGTGAGGGAGTGATGCCCAGGTATGCAGAGGAGTCTGTCGGGTGGTGGAAGTGGCTGGCTGGTAATGTCGGGGGGGCGGGATTCTACTTACGCTGGGATCTCATTAGTCAGTTGGCTTGAAAACAAAGAAACAAGGACATTCAGAAGAGACAGACGGACAGCGAAAAAGCGACAAACAACATCTCTCCAGAGACAGTGGTGAGGAACCAGGGTGGGAGAGGAAGGGAAGGGCTGAGCGCCATCCGTCGCCTTGTTCCAGAGATGCAGAAATGCACCCTGCGCTGGGGCCTGGGAGCTGAGGGAAGGGTAGGAAGTTGGCTGTGGTCTGGGAAGGGCCTGGGGCTGCTAAGGGGTAGGAAAGTGGCAGGAGCAAGGGCACGCCAATGCATGGCCTGAAGCACAATCTGTATTAGCCTTCACTGAGCCTAGGAGAGCAAGCCCTGAAGGCTGTGCTGGAATCAGGAAAGATTTCCCCCCTGCGGCCAGGGAGCTCTGCCATGGGTGGGTCCTGTGGCTGGAGGACTGTACTGAGATGGCTGGGAGCAGAGGGCCAGGCCATGCTAAAGGAGAGACGGGAAGGGACTGGGGCCCAGCCTGCCTCCTTCAGCCACTGCTCTGAGACCACTGGGGCCCATTCTGCCCCAGGGATCCCCCCTGGATGAGGGCAGATCCTGTCCCCTTGTGTTGCAGTGAGCCGTCGGACCAGATGGTGCCTTCACCTCGCCCCTAACTCTTTGCTGGGCTCAGCGTCTGAACTGAGATGCAAATTTGGCCGGTGCATGTGTCTGAAATGGGAATGCACTCCCTACCCAGCAGCCTGGGGCAGCCAATTCAGGCTCCTACGGAGCCTGCCAATGCGAGGTCAGGTTTGGCTCAGGGGAGCCGGCATAGCAGACCTTGGGCTGAGTCTTAACTTGGGGCCCCAAACCCCAGGACCATGGGGGTGGTTCTGGTCTGGATCCAAACTCTGCACTCTCCTGAGTCCTGCCTTACCTGAGAGGGAGACAGACAGAGGTGGGGGGAGACAGACAATGACTAGAGACCAAGACAGACAGAAACAGGTGAGCCCAGACAGGCCAGGAGTGGGCACCTGGGAGAAGAGTGTGGCAGTGCTACTGAGGTCTCTTGGGGAAGGGGAGTTTATACAGCAGGTCCTGAAATGCCTGCCTCCCACACTCCTTAGCTCTTCCATCTTAGGACTGGGCAAACTCATCCTCAACATGCTCTCTTCTCTGCCCCTCTGGCCTTCCACCCGAAATAATCCTGCATGCAGCAACACATGGTTGCCACACCGCAATGCAAATACTGCCATTGCTGCCACCAGGCAATGACCTACAGCAAGTCGGGATGACTCTGGTCAGGACAGCAGCTTGAGAGAGCAGATTCCTCCCAGCTCAGGTGGCATGTGGGCACCAGATGTCTGGACAGCAGCTGCCAGCTGGGCTGAGCAGACAAACTGGTGAGATGTTCTTCTCTCACACGTCAAAGGGCTTTTCTACGCCTAGAAGCTCTGCTGCAATAAAGTGGGCCGTGAACTGAAAGCAGAACAGCTAATCCAGAGTAACGCCAGGTGTGGATGCACCAATTACAGAACAGCAGTGCATTCTGCCTAGCCTAGTTTAACCCACTTCCAAATCAGACTAAGCTCGCTTGGAAAACAAGGCACTCGTACTCTAGTATAGGAGCCCACACACCCGGGGTTTAATCAGCCAGTTATTCTGGAAGAACCCGAGGTGAAGAAGGAAAGGGGTGAAACTCCAGCTGCAATGCAACTTTCCTTTGACCTACAAGTTTGCCACCTGCTAAGACCTGGCCCCTGGTTTATCCTCCTGGTTCAGTTCAGCTCAGCAGCTGAGTTACCTTTTTGTCACGGCATTGTGGTATTCCATGTAGGTCCTGCCATCAAAGGCAATGGCCTCGGAGTCCCCGGCTGCCTTCTCGATGATCACTTGGGGCGAGGAGGAGAATGAACAGGCAGTGAGGTTAATCCCAGAGGTCAGCTGTGAATCAGTGCCACGTAAAAGGCTCCCAGTGGCTTGCAAGCATGTGTCCAAACTGCCTGCTCTTAGGGTCTGTTACCAATCTGAACCCCAAGCATGTACCCAGCATGGTTTGCTTCAGCTCAGATGCCTCTCAAGGGATCTGCGACCAGGTGACATCTTTACAACCCAATTCTTTGAAAACCCCTTGGCTTCAAGGCAAAAGTAAGTGACCTGAGGCAGAATATAATGTGCTAACTCTGGAGAAATGGTGGACTGTCTGCTAAGCTGCGTGGTGCAGCAGTGGCCCAGCCATTGCCACCAGGGAGCACTGCAATGCCACCCCCATGCTCACCCGCCGCAGCCGTGCTGGCCTCACCTTCCTCGCAGTGGGCACCGGAGAAGCCCCTCTGGCAGGCGCACTCGTAGCTCTCCAGCCGGGGGTTGCACTTGCCCCCGTTTTGGCAGGGGTTGGGCTTCTGGGTGCAAGGGTGGGAGTGGAAGGTGGAGATCTCGATGGCGCTGCGGATGTTCTCCTTTTTCAGGACAGGGACCCCCTTAATGGAGATCTGAAGGGGGCAGGGGAGACATGGAGGGAGAAAAGGGTGAGTGGGACATATCGCTTCCAAGTGGGCATGGACAGGGTCCGCGTGATGGCGGTATGTGGCCCCCAGACAGGTGAACCGTGGGGCTCTCGTGGCCTCAAACTCGTGGCCTTACCCTCTGCAAGGCGCCATCAAAGCTTGTGGAGATGGCCGCGGCGCGAGCCAGTTTGCTGAAATCGGGCGCGCCCCCGACATACAGGGGCTCCTTCAGGTTCAGGAAGGCGTGAGGCACCTGGGGAGGGAGAGGCAGGCGAGTGAGAGAGGAGCCCAGAGCTGGGCCACGGAGGAGACGGGGGCACAGCCCCAAGCCCAGCCCCGCGGTCTGTCCAGGCTGGGCGCCACCAGGGGGGACTCTGCTCGCAACACCTGCACTGTGTGGTCTGGGGGGGGGCCTTCGCAGTGGAGAGGAGGAGCGGGACATCACCTCCCTGCCTGCCCCAGTGGATGCCAGCGGTCTCGGTGCTCCCTTGAAGGCAGGGACCGAATCCCGAGGGCAGATGCCCAAACAGGAGGTGCTCCAGGAAGGGGGTGTCCCTTCTCCCTAGGGCTTCCCCCTCTCCCATGCACTGCTCTCACCCTCTACTGGCCACACTGAAGTGCTACGGCACGGCTCCCCGCCACCGATCTCACCTTCCTCCAGGTCAGCATGGCTTCTCGTGGCCACAGGCTTCAGGAACAGACTCAGTCTCCCACCGTGGGAGAACCATCCTCTGCACTTTCACATATGGGATCCCCAGGCACTGGGGGATTGCGGCTTGCCCACGGTCCCACAGTGGCTGAGCTGAGACTAGAAACCACCCCCTATGTTCCCTCAAGACGCCTTGTGCCCTTCCCCAGGGGCAGCACAACTGCCCCAGCCCAGGCAGCTTTCAGGGCTGCCAGTCGGGCCCCGGAGCAAACCAGGCGTGTCAAGAAAAAACCAGGGCACCCGTCCAGGCTGCATCACTCCACATCACATCCATCCAGGGCTAGAAATCTCCCTCTGGGCCATCAGGGCTACTCAGGCCTCGGGGATGCTGCATGATGATCACTCAAGCTGGGGAGCTGAGCTTGGGATTGACATCAGAGGCCTAAAGAGCCATCATACGTGCTGTCACTGGATCAGATTATGGGCTGCAGCGTGAAAGGGTGTGGGGACAAGGGGTCTCCTTCAAGGCGCTGGGCCCGCCCTGACCCGGACTGTGAAGTTCTCACATGCCAGTAGGAAACCAGCGCAGGGATTTTTTGGGGAAGGTGCCAAGCTGACACCCTCACCAAAGCACAGCCCCCAAGACTCCAAATAAACACAATCTGGCCCCTTTTTACACGCCGGTGTTGCCCTAGACTGCCCCAAATTGGAACTGAGTGTGTTTCATAGACCCCGTACAGGAAATAAATTAAGGGAGATTCTCCTTTAGTTCAGAGAGAAGGGGGTTGTGAATTGGAGGCAGAGAGACCTGGGCCCTCACCTTGCTGTCACCACCCAGCCCTGCAGTGCAAAAGCCACCAGCAAGTCCCCAGTAAATCTTTGACCGCGGCACCTGGGATTTACCGAGCAATGGTCAAACCTCTCCCCCACACCCCTTCAACACGGTACCCTACTAAGGTACTCGACGGCCGACTCGGAGGCAGAGCAGCCGGGCATAGACGCAGGTACACTAATCGCTAGCTAATGCTGCATGGAGTTAACACGAGAAGAATGACAGGATTACTGAAATGCCTGGGTGTAAAACGTGGCTCTCTGAAATTAATGAAGGAAAAGAAACCCGCGCCTCTAGTCTACCGAGCTCCAGAAGGTGGATCGCTCAGATGGAAAGGGGTGGGAAGGTGGAAATGAGCACGGATGGCTTGGCTTTGGATGGAGGAATGGAGAGCAATGTGCGGATGGCAGATGAGATGGAGGTGCGGCAGGTTATACTTATCTTTACCTTACGGGATTTCTGAAATCCAGACAGCGGGGAAGGGAAAAACACAAGTGAAAAATCAAAGGGAAAGGAAGAGAGAGAGAAAAAGAGAGAGAGAGAGAGAGAGAGAGAAATAGGAGATCAGTGGGTAACATCATAACATGCAGGGCTGTAAGTGCATTGCCTAAAAATATGTCCCCTCGTTAGCAGGCAATTAAGAGAGGAAGGGAGCAGAATGGAGGAGCAGGGGGGCTGCGCCAGCGCTGGCCCTGTCGGGCAAGCCGCTGTTTGAGAAAGGGCAATTTTAACACTGGAGGAAGCTTGAAAAGTGGGGATAGAAGCTTTTACGGAAAATCACAGGCCCTCAGCTCCCTGCCTTCGCTGATCTGCCGCAGAGAGGGGCGGCTGCTGAATCGAAGGGCTCCAAGGACTCGCGTCTTCCTGCAGGCACAGAAGACACGCCATGCAGCGCATGTCTTCCCATGCGCTGCACGGCATCCTGCATGAAGAGGCAGCCAAGGGCGAGCTGCACGGGGCAGCACTGCAGCAGGGGGCATGTGGGTGGAGAGGGCATAGCTTAAATGACAGCCGGGCACCAGTTACACTAAGCTAGGCTGTCAGCACAGGCGAACTGAATTCCTACTGAAACCCACCAAATTTAGATAGGGAGAGACACCCAAGCCAAGCGGCCTGGATGTCTCCTGCAGGAAGGGTCATATTCTTTGCCCAGCGGTTGGGACAGGCATCCATTCTCCCTGCTGTGGGTGCAGGGCATCCGCACAACACACGGAGGTGCTCCCATCATCTGAATCCTGCTTTGCGAGGGATATGCCCACCCGCACTTGGGCTTGATCTCCTCCCAGGGCTGGTGCACTGTGATGTGAGATAGGGGATGTTGGAGAAGTGTGGGCCCACGGTGGGAGAGAAATGGGAGACCTGGGTCCCCGCTGAGTGGATGAGGGTGTCGGGGTGTGACCTGAGCCCATGTGGGACTCTGTATATCTGAGAGGAGACAGGAAAAGGGGTGAGGGGAAGGTGGGGAGAGAAACCAGACAAACAAGCTGCCAGTCTGCAAGCAGAGCAGAGAGAGCTAACCGGTTTCTAAGCAGCACCTGTGTGATCGTGGCAACAGGTCTGAGCTGCTCAATTATTGCAGAAGCCTTCTGCAAAGCGCTGTCTGGCTCTTCCTCCAGCAAGCCTCAGGAAAGGCCCCAGGGCACCAGGGTTGGGTTGTGACTCGCACCAGACCCCAGTGGCACGACGGGCAGAGGCTTCCTTCTGCTTCGCAGCCTACCACAGAGCTCTGTACTGCAGCTGCGCAGAGAAAGCAGGAAGGGGATGCTTGGCTGGACATTCCCCACCGCTGTCACCCTGGAGTCAGGGACCTGTCAGAGCAAGCGACCGTCTCTCCTGCCAAGGGGATGCCAGATGTGGGCAGTAGTGCAGGCAGGGACAAGAAAAGAGCACGTAATCTCAGCACAGAATAGGAGGCGGCCCTGCTTTTACCAGGCAGCTCAGGGAGGGGCAGAGAGCACCAGGGCTAGCGCTGGGCACAGGCCACGTTGGTGCCCCGCATCTCTGCCAAGACACCTCAGATCTGCTTCAGGTCAGGGACCACATACACCTCGCACTTTGTCCTTGGGCACAGGGCATGAAGCAGGCCCAGCTCTGGGAAGGCAACAAATGCCCACTAAATCATGCCCACAAGCTTCGCTTGTGTGAGAGTGGCATGCTTGCATAAGTTGAAGAGATCCCAGGCCTGCCCTGGTTGCCAGCCCCCTGCTCCTTGCCAGAGTCAGTGCAGCCAGTGACAAACAGTGTTAGAGAGCGGGCAGGTGCCATGTCCTTCCGGCCCTGGTGCTGGCCTCTCCGTGACGCACCAACTCACCGGTGACTCTCCCATCACCCTCTCGCCGTGGTTAATCCTCATCACGCCCTTGCGCTCATTCCTCTCCAGGAAGACACTGACCCATGTGTTCAGGGGGATTGGCTCCTTGCTCCTAGGGTGGAGAGAGGTGGGGAAATCACGGCTGGGGCCCACGCTTTGCCACGGCTGTGCATGCACACCCTGAGAGCAAATGCATGCCCCACAGAAAGCGCAGCGTGAATGCTGCAGGGGGCCTGAATGAACAGCAGGAGGCACAAGTGGTCCTGCTGGTGGTCTACAGGTCACACCAACAGCACACCATGGCCTGTCGGAGGCTGGTCTGCCCCATGGAGATGAAAGCCTGAGCAGACAAGGCAAAGGTGGGAGACGGGAAGGGGGGTGGGGAGTGGTGCCCTAGATGGAGTCTGCTTCAAAGCCTCTAAGTTATCTCAGGAGAACATGTTGCCACGCGGCGCTTACCTGAGCACCGCTGCCCCTTTGCCCAGGTCGTATCTGTACTCCAGGTAGCCGTCATGCAAGGCCAGCGAGACAAAGTCCCCTTTGCCGTCCGTCTTCTGCCCGTTGTAGAAGATCATGCCACTGGGGTTCTTGGCCAGGAACACGACCTCCATGGACAACTTTTCCCTGAGAGAGAGCAGGGAGTCAGTGCCTCTCTCCAAGCCGTGCAAACCTGGTGTCCCTGATGCAGTCTTTGCCTGTCTGCTCCCTCTCACTGGGAGATCTGCACTTTGAAGAGCTGCTGGTGTTGCAGCCAAGTACCCGTCTAGCAGTGCTGGAGAGCAGAGTCCTGTTTAGCCATGCAGTGGGGATCGCCTGAAAAGCTGCCTTCCCACCACTGCACCTTCATGCTTTAGTCCCCCTCTGGGCAGGGCTCCATGGCCCACACCTGGCCTCTGCTGACCAACACGGCCCACTTACCCTGCCTGCAGTTCAGTGGGTACCTGCATGGACACAGCATCCCTGTACCCAGGGTAAGAGTGTGTGCCTGGGCTCAGGCTCCTCTACGAAAGACAGGAGGAGCAGGCACAAGTGCCAACCCTCAGGGACAGTCCTTGGTCCTGTCCCTGGCTTATCCCAGCCACCCTGGGCATTTCCTGCCTCTTACTCTCCCTCCCCATGGTGCCTGAAGCTGCTTTTTGGCACTTACTGGATATCGGGCACAAAGGTCTGCAGCCCGCTCAGCTCCAGGTAGGAGAAGCCGTTGAACTCCGGGAGGAAGGGCATGGTCTGGTCCTGCTCCGTGACTGAGCCAGAAACCAGAGGGGTGGAGATGGAGAGAGGAAGAGGAGACAGAGCCATGTCAGTCTGTGCTGCCAGCCCCTTGGCCAGGGGGCGGGTACCCCTTCCACACAGGGCATCTTGTGCCCGTGCACGCCCAGCACCACTCACCGAACTCGCAGAAATCCCCTTCCCGCCCCATGGGGCACGCGCACATGGCGCCTCCCTCTGGCAGCACCAGGCAGGTGGCCGAGACGTGGCACGGGCTGGGGTCACAGGGGTTCCTCTCGTCGGCACAGGTTGGACCTGAGTGGGAGACAACCAGGATATCAGCTCACCTGGGGAAGGGACTTCGGGGCTGGGCTGGGGGCTCTGGGCTCCTGCGCATGCTGGGGTGGGGAAATGTGTCCCTTTTCAGCAGCGGGAACCCATGGAGCTGCCCGGACTTCTTCCTTCTCACTTATCTCCTGGACAGTGACTAGCACTTGAGGCCAACATGGTGCCGTGGAGCTGGGAAGTTCCACCTGACACTAACTTCCAAGATGTCTTGGTGATTTATGGGCACATTTGAGCAGAGGGAGATTAACCCTGGGGTCCTGGTCTCCTTCTAGCTCTGGTGACTGATGCTGTCTTCTCGAATTCCTCCCCTGCTGTTTCAACAGGACACAGCATGAGCCAGTGCCTCCCATCCCGAGCCGCTGCTCCGCACTCCTGTTCAGCCGCCACGGAGGGAGCTGCATTTCAGTGCTGCGTGATGTGATCCCACAGGCTTTTGGATTAATTAGAGAAGATGAGCAGGACTCACTAGCTAAGTCCCCTGGGTGCTGCCCAAGCCCTGTCTCCTCACCTGTGTAGGTGGAGAGACACTCGCAGTGGAACATCTCGGCCTCCTTGACGTGGCAGATGCCGCCGTGGTGGCAGGGGTTGGGGTGGCAGGGGTCATTACCGCACTCGCCCACCCCGCTGCCGTACATCACGTCGGTGCCCTTCTCCCGCAGGTCGTACATCTGGTTGTTCACGTCCAGCAGACGGATGCAGCCCTTCAGGCCAGCCGTGGCTGCAGTGCGGTCTGCCACCCTGAGGGGACAATGGACATGAGGGGCTCAGGAGAGACAGCCTGTCCAGGACGCAAAGGGCTACGTGGGCCAGGGGGTTGCTCTGGCTAACTGCCACAGAGATTTCAGGCCAGCATCATCTCCTCTTCCCTTAGTGACTGTCCTTGGGCGATGAGGTCCCCCTGAGCTGCCCCGAGTTACCCTAGTAAGATCTAGGGACCTAGGAGACTTGCACCCACCCTCCCTCTCGAGGGATGTAGCAGTCCCATGGTGGGAGTCAAATTCATCTGCTACTCACACAAGCATCTGGTCTTCCGGTGCTCCTCCGATGAACAATTCTGTGTCCAAGTTCAGCCCGTCGGTGCCGGTGGGGCTCTCCCCATTCACGTGCGACTCCCCATCCACCGACAGCATGCCATTACGGCGGTTCCGGTTCACCACCAGCTGGTGCCACTTGCCAGGCTCGACAGGCACTTTGCTGGTGATGACGCCGGTACCAGATCCTGTGTTGAACCTGAAATAGAGGAGAGGAGGCAGTGAGTTTAGGGTGCCGCAGCTCAGACACCGGGATTGACAACTCCTTGTTGGATGCGGCCCATACCACCCCAGCGGTGGCTGCACTTCACGACATGCCAGCGAGGCTTTAGCATCTTTTAAGGACAAATGGGGACCAATTACATAGGGCTTCTCACTGTCCAGAATCTGGGCCCTTCATTTATTTCCTTTCAAATCTTGGGAGGGCAGGCTGGAAAACGAGGTCATTTTCAAATACGCTTCACTTCTTCCTCTCCTTTCCATCCCTTTTTTCCCCCCCTCCCTCCTTTTTCAGTCAAAGAAAGGGGCAGGGAAAGGTGAGGGGTACCAGCTCCCCCTGTTTTGTGCTTCTTGAAAATCCAAACAAATCAAACCTTTTCATTTGCATTGCTGAAGAAAGGAAATTCCAGAGAAAATGATTACCTCCCCGCCCCCTGGTTTTCTGAGCAACCCATGGCCTTCCTCTTTCTCCCTGAGTAGCCTTAATATGAATAGAGCAGGACCCCAGCCAAGGCTGGGGCACCCACCTGAGCTCCACAAAGCCATTGACAAGTGCCAGGGAGATGAAGTCCTTGCCCCGGTTCTGCCCGTTGTAGAGCAGCAGCCCGCTGAGCTCAGAGGCCCGAAACTCCATGGCGATGCGCACCGTGTGATAGGCCTTCATTGTCTTGAAGGCCAGGTAGGACTTTCCGCCAAAGCTGGGGATGAAGTATCTGATGGCTGTAAGCGCAGACAGAGAGGAGGAAGGGGTGAGGTGGGGAAGAGACAGAGAGAAGCCCCGATGGGAGTCTGAGAACAAGTCCACCCTTCCTGCGCCTCTGTGGGCAGAGGGCTCCCGGCGTGGGAGGTGTCTGAACTCATGGCTGGAGGAACAGAGCTTGCTAACCCCCTCTGATCTCCCCAAGCCACAATAGCAGCACATGCCACCGGCCTCGTGACCAGTGCCCCAAGCCACGAAGATCATCCACAGCCCTAGAGCCCCCTCTGATATTTGGCTCCAGTCTCCTCTTCTTTGCTCTCACCCCACTCCTTCCTGCTGGACCCATGTGCACCAGTGCCAGTTGCCATCCTGCCTCCCTGTCACATCCACATTTCACTGTGCCATTCCTCATAAATCACTCACTCCTGCCTCTTAGCTAGTTATATCTCTGCTCCCAGGGTCCCGTGCAATAGGTCTGCAGTCATCACTCCCTGTACTCATTTACGGCAGCTGAGATTTTCAAAGGGACCCAGACAGCAAACCCTTATTAGAGTTAACAGCACTGGACATCCTTGTGCAGCAGGCAGCTTTGAATGCTGCAGCAAGGGGGCTTGGCTTCCCGGGAATCAACCCTTTCTAACCACCCAGCCTCGAAACGTGATGCCAACCTGCCGGTGCGAGCTGCCAGCCAATATGAGCAGCTTTGGTGGCCAATACACAGCTGTCTATTAAGCAGCATTGATCCTGACTGTGCAAAGCACTTGCGCCGTGCCGTGCTATGGGAGCGCTGTTGTCAGCTGTCGCTCTCAGACCATCCTCAGCGACTGCGACCAGCCTGGGGTTAGATGCCAGAGGCTCTCAAGCCTCGTGCTTCAGGGCTATGCTGCATCCCCAGTGGGGTCAGGAAGGGACTGCTGCCAGCTCCCTCCTTCTCCAGTGCTGATGTACTTCTAATGAGGTGCATTATGATGGAAGAGGGGTCTGCAAGGCACTGGGTTATGTGGCCACTGGGCTATTCCAGCATTGCCTGATAGCCTCCTACCTGCAGTGCTCTGGGGGGTAGATGAAGCACTGAAGGAAGAGGCTTGTGGGGAAGTGGGACCACTGTTTCAAATCTGGGCTCATCAGGAAGAAAAAAATGAGTGTGCAATTCCTGCCCAGTGCACGTACAATGATGCGCACAAGCTAAAAGGTTGGAGTGCCTCAGCCTGCTGCTGCTTACTGGGCATTATGAGGCTGGGTTTCCAGAGGGGCTGAGCCCCACTGTCTCCAGGCTAGCTTAGTGGAGGGGGGTGCTCAGGACCTCAGACACACAACATAGGCATGCATGGCCCCCCACCCGGACAGTGGAAGCCACGTACACTTCTCACACACGGCGCCTCCCTTTCCCACCGGGCAGCTGCAGGTGAACTCTTTCCCATCGTCCTCGCAGGTGCCGCCATGCAGGCAGGGGTGGGAGTCACAGGGCCGGGCCGGCTTCTTGGTGGCTGGGGGCTGGCGCGTGGGTTTCCTCCGGGTGGTGGCTGGCACGGTGGCAGTGGGTCTCCTGGTGGTGACGGGTGCTGCCAACTTGCTGCTGGGCCTCCCCATGGTTTCTGGGCGCAGGACGTGGGCGGTGGTGGTGGTGGCGGTGGTGAACCTCCGCGTGGTGGCGGGCGCCATGGTGGTGGCGGTGGTTGTAGTGGTCGTGGTGGTGAAGAGCCTGGGGATCCAGTCTGGAACACAGCACGGGGCACGCTCAAGAGGAGCCCAGAAACCCAATGCACTGCTGAGGGAGGTGGGACACCCGGGTTCGATTCCCAGTGATGAAGAAAGGTACCTAGGAGCCAGGACTGCAGGGTTCAACTCCTGGCTCTGGGGGGGGGGGGCCTCTTAGGAACAGTAGGGCACTGGCTTCTCTCCCTAGCTCTGATGACGATCCCCTGTGTGATCTTTGAGTAAACCATCTACCTGTCTGCACGTCAGCTTCCCCATCTGTAACATGGGGTCAGTGCTCAAAGGGCCAACCCTTGAGCTCCTTTCACGAGGGTGAATCCATTCATCTTGGCTCTCTCAGGCAAGGAGGGTCCTACACAAGGCTGCTGCTGATGGTGGCGGGAGCCTGTTCTCCACCTCTGCAAGCAGGAGAAGGCCCACCCCTAGGTCTCAACCCCTCACCGCTGCCTCTCTCCCTGCACCGCTAACAAACAGCTCATTAGCTGAGAGCCCTTCGCAAGGGTTCAGGAGGCTCCAGCTGCCGTCTGGTCTAGCTGGGGAGTGTGCAGCTTGTAAGTGCTACCTACACAGCCATCCCCAGGCTGTCTACTGCATTCGTGCTTCCTTATACCCCTCCTCCCTGGCACAGCCATAGGAAATCAATTGTTCCTGTTCATCAGCACCAAGCCCTGGGGGTGGATCAGCTGTCTTCCTTGCCCTGCAGTGGCAGGGAGGCAGCTGCCGCGGGGCACATCTTAAGATGAGGCAGGCACTTCAGTGCTGTGGCTCAGCCCCTGGGTAGAAACTTCACATCACACCTGCTATCTCCGAAGTGCAGGAGGCAGGCGGCTGGAGGAGGCTGACATCCTTTGCCCCAGGGGATTGGCAGGCAATTATTATATGGGGCGCTCTGTTCAGATCCTCAGTGGGTGTCAATGAGCCCTGCAGTCAAGGGAGCTGCAGCAGTCCCAGTGGAGGGCTATGAAAATGGCTTGGGGCCTGGGGAACATGACTTCTGAGGAGGGGTTGAGGGAACTGGGTTTATTTAGTTTGGAGAAGAGAAGACTGAGATGGGATTTAATAGCAGCCTTCAACTACCTGCAGGGGTGATTACAAAGAGGACGGAGCTGGGCTGGTCTCAGTTGGGGGCAGATGACAGAACAAGGAGCAACGGGCTCAAGCTGCAGAAAGGGAAGTTTAGGTTGGCTATTAGGAGCCACCTAATATTATAAGTTTATATACTGTATAAGTCTACAACCTAGATAAGTTTAGGTTGGATATTAGGAACCACCTTGCTAGGAGGGTGGTGAAGCACTGGAACAGGTTACCCAGAGAGGTTGTGGACTCTCCATCCTTGGAGGTTTTTAAGACCCAACTAGACAAAGCCTGGGCTGGATGATCTAGTTGGGGCTGGTCCTGCTTTGAGCAGGCGGTAGGACTAGATGTGACCTCCTGAGGTCCCTTCCAATCCTTGATTTTATGATCAATCCACAGTGCCTAAGGACCTGGCTTGGAATTGCTGGCAGTTAACTGGGGCCTAGGTGCAATTTTTATTGCAAGGCACTGAATGCAAGCCTGGAGGCTGGGGAGAGCAGAAGTCCTAGGAGCAAAGCGGTGCAGCCTCCCGTGTCCCCGAGATCTGTCTCGCACTCCATTACAGTCCCAAACCCAAGAGCTCTGTCCTTCGCGCTGAGACACGTGCCAGTCCCCAGCTATGAAAGATAATGTGCTGTAAGGGGTGTCTGATGAGCTCCTGCTGGGGATGAAAGGGAACAGGCCAGGCCAGGAGCCTTGCTTGTCTTTAGAAGTCCAAGCCGGGCAGAGGCCAGACAGCAAGGCAGGCCCATGACGCGTGGTCAGGAGAGCTCACCAAAGTCCATGAATTTGACATGATCCTGTTGCGGCTTCTTCACCAGGATGGTCTTCTTCTTGGAGGCTTTGATCTGCTTCAGAAGGGCCTTCTGGACGTCGGCCGCTGTGTAGGACGTGGCTGTTCGGAAGAGGGATATGAAAAAGCATGAGGCTCTCCAGCATCCTTCCCTCCGATACAAGCCCCGCAGAAGCAGCCGCATCAAAAGCCTTTTTTATCCCCAGCCCCACAGTAGATCTCCAGCCTGCTCTGTGCCACCTGGACTGTGGCCCTCTCCATGCCATGCCAGCTGTCTTGGCTGGACAAAAAGCACATCCTCAGTACTTTTATTTAATGAGGCCCTTTCATGTCCTCCAGCTCAGGCTCGCTCCTCAGGTGAGCCACAGCCCTGGAGCAACACTTCTGGCAGGCAGAGCCAGAGCTGGGAGCCCGCAGGGGCGGGAGGGAGCTGCTCTCACCTGGATCAAAGTGGGACTCGACGATGACACGGATGGCATTGCTCTGACCCAGGTCCCTCACGCGGATGCTCTTGAAATCCCTCTTGACATCAGAGTTGCGGAAAAGCTCGTCCAGCTAGACGGGAGGGAGAGAGGCAAAGCAAAGGAGGGACCAGGGTGGCGGGGGGAGTGTTTAGCATCAAGATACAGGCCCAGATCTTGGTTCTGATGCAATAAAGTCCATGTTTCCACCCCCTCCAGCTGCGTTTCAAGTCTGAGCCTTTGCTGATCATGCACAGCCCCAGCCACTGTGACATATTGGTGCCTACAGACCCCTGCACTATCCAAGGCCCCGCTGGACAGCCCTTGGCGAGAGGTGCTCCTGCCCTGTGGGGCTTACAGATCTCTGGTGAACAGAGGAGACAGACCGAGGCTGGGGGAAAGGGAACGTCCCCGTGTTTCAGCAGTCCCACGCCTCGTGGGATGCTCCAAGAGGCCAAAACAGGCTTGGCATCTCTCCAGATCTGTCTAGGTGTCTTTCCACCCTGAGAACACAACTGATGCCTTCTCAGTGCCGCACTGTTCTCCGCTCTGACCAGTCCGGTGGTGCCGAGAGGGCTGCCACCACTGCACGGGCACAGACCCCCAGCGAGAGAGCACAGACCCTGCCCCACCACTCGACCCTAATACCTCCACATGGCAAAGGAGGGGGTTAACACCTGCAACAGGACGCACATTAACAAAGGGCAGCAGGAGCCTGGGATGGCAGCCTCAGGAACCCTGGGTTTTAGTCTGGGAGGTACAAGGCCAGGCAGCCACTTTGTACCTCAATTTCCCCATCTATAGCATGGGTTGATGAGCCCCGCTTCTGAGATGGTATCTGTTTTGGGGCGTGAGGGTGCTTTGAGATCCTGAGATGGAGGTCTCTATTACGCTTCAACCTACTGATGCTGCTAAGTAAAGGGGTTTGCTTAGCCAGTGGCCATGAGTTACGCCAGGGCTAGAAGGGACCTCATGAGTCCTCAACTCCAACCCCTTGCCCGGATAGGGGGTTTGCTGCTCCTAAACCAACCCTTCCCACACCAGCCACCCAGCCTCTTCCTGACAGCCTCCAATGACGGGGAGGCCCCAGCTCCCCTTGTCCTGACACTCTTATCATCCGGGATCTGTCCCTGAGTTTGATCTCAATCTACTTTTAAGTCAGGGCTTGGCCTGGGAATTGCTTGGCTCTGGGGTCCTAGGAGAGGGCAGGCACAACGCCTCCAACTCTGTTGTTCTTTCTCTTCTTCCTTTGTTTCTCCGCCCCCCCGCACCCCACTCCTATACCACACACCATATGGCCCATATGTTGAATGCACATCTGCCAATATGACTGTACCAAGCACTTGCCAATCTGGAAGTACAGACTGGAACGGTCTCTCCATGCTAAACATGTTGATCCCCTTCCCAAAGACGCTTACGTTTGCTGAGCCACACAGCAGGCTCCGGTGCAATGTTGCTACCCCATCACATGTTGCCTCGCACGCGCAAGGGGCCCTGCCAAGCCAGCGCTGTCTAGCCGAGAGCTCGCAAAGGAGCAGGCATCACGAGCGTGCGGCGCTGTGACTGTAAGATGCCACGAAAGCAGGGAACGTATTCACTAGGCGGGGGTGGGCTTCCTGGCTGAGCTTCAAAGGCAAAGTATGGAGAGAAGCCTGGCAAGCTGGGATCTAAACCATTTTCTAAGGGTCTTTCGTTAATGGAAATACACTAATGGAAGACAAGAGGCCCAAAGCAAAGTTTGGGGTATCTATGCAGGGTATCTGCATAGGGTATCTACGCAGCTCCGTGAACCTCATCCCCTGCTGCCCCTGAACTTGGAGATGCTGAAACTTCCAGGCTTTGTGGTTTAAACCCATCTTTAACTATAACATGGGTCGACTTCCACCTGAGGATCCCAAAGCACTTTGCAGAAGGTGCATGGCTCTCACCGTTCCCATTTCAGAGAGACGCATGTTGATGGATGACGTGGCCAGAGCTGCACAAAGAAGCAAGGGCAGGGCCAGGAACAGATGCTGAGTCTCAGCGCACTTCCCTGCCCACCTGCCAGCTCCGTCCTTCCAGTTACAATGGGCCGTGTTTACTCCGGGGGAAGGCAATATGGAAGCCACCAGAGCACCAGGCCTCACCCAAGACCTGCCGGCAGGGTGGAAATGCAAAGCTTTCTCGTAGTGGGGCTGGCGCCTCCAAGGCAGTGGTTAGCAGGGGCAGGACCAGACAGGTGTGTCCAAAGCAGACTGACTCCAAAACCCTTTGTTTCTACCACCTGAACTGAAAGCCTCTTAGCTCCCACTTGCAGCAAGGCTTGGGTGCTGCTGTGCATGGTCCGAAAGCCTGCACCTACGCCATGGCAGTGCAATAAAGGCCATCCGGCCACTGCACTCAGCTTTGGGAGGAGGCAGCCTGCTTTGTCCAAAGTCGGGCCCCAGGGGTTGACTCACCGCACTCTCGATGCTCCGGGCAGTTTCCCCGAAGAGCTCCGATTTGGGGTCGGCCATCTCGGGCGTGTAGAACAGCTCCTGGCCCTCCACCTCCTCTAGGATGAGTACTCCTTGGAAGACCTTGGTGGCTGCGGGAGGACGGGGCAACAGAAAGGAGACGAGACAAATTTGTTAAGCAGGCAGGTTGGATGGGGGTTGTTAGTGGTCAGTCCCTGTGGGGGAGTGGGTATGGCAGTGTGGGGATAGTGCCAGGCCTTGGGTTAGTCTGGATGGGTCTGGAGAGCGCTATGGAGGATTAGTATCGGAGGGTGCTGGAGCAGGTGTGTCAGATGGCAAAGACCAGGCTGGAGATGGCAGGTTTTACCATACGGTTTCCTCTGAGCTCCGGCCCGGATAGCAGCCGCCCTGGACCGGCTGAGTAACAAGAGAGATACGTTAGCCAGAGCAGGACACAGTCAACAAGGTAGGATCCAACGCATGCATGCAACACGGGGTCATCCCCGAGGGAGCCGGGGCCCTGGCAGGGATGGGTGCTCTCCTCAAGTGGGGGCAAGTAGGCACCCTGCCAAGAGATCTGGGGTCTGGCACCTCCCACAGAGCCCAAAATGGGAGGAATCACAGAAAATGAGGGTTGGAAGAGACCTCAGGAGCTCACATCTAGTCCAACACCTGCTCAAAGCAAGACCATCCCCGAGGACTGCAGGGACGTGCGGGTACCGGGAGAGCATCAGGAAGTGACCCTCCGCTGCTGGCATGTGTGTGGGCATTGCAGGCAATGCCACCAGACAGGGGAGTCTCTGTCTGCAGAGAGGAGAAGGGGAAGCCCCCTGGGCACGTGGTGTCTTGGGAGGATTGTAGTGGGCACCGGGGAGTCAGTCACGTGGAACGAGCCTGGTGAGGGAAGCCTGTTTACTGGGGCACACGTGCTGGGGCTGTGCAGACCTGCGTGCTGCACCGAGCACCCAGCTGCCACACTGCGAGGCACAGGGCAGCATCTCGGGGCAGGGCAGCATCTTGTTCCTTGAGGGTAAGGAGGATGCCACGCAGGTCACGGGAGCAGTGCTCTCCCTGGGCTCGGGCCATAAGTGGTGACCCCTCACCCCAGCCTCAGCAGAGTCAATGAACAGCTGCCCACCTCACACCAGAGGGCACTGAGCTGGATACAGACACCTATATCATGCCCTCCTCTCCTCTCACTGCCACCTCGCTGCCCCAAAAGGACAGGCCCCGCAAATCAGTCTGCTCAGGCTATTTCAGATGCATCCAAAGCCAAGCAGCCCCTTACAGATGGCACCCCGCCTCTCTTCTGGGCACAGGGGTCTCTAGATAGACCCCCTTGGCATCCTGCAGTGGGTGTGGGGGGGCTTTCATGTTCAAGACAGCAAAGTCAATGCTGTACGCTCCCGCCGGCGGACCCCATGGCAAGACACATTGCCAGAGAAGCAGGCAGCAGCACTCAGCACCAGCTTCCCCTCCTGGGCCGGTCTTAGAGGCAGCTCCACATTGTGTCCCCTAGTTTGGAAAGGACTGTGGCTTTATATCTCATGCCCACCCCAGGGGAGCTCAAGGGACATCCACTTACCAGGACAGTTGCTCCCTTCTGCATCGATGGCGGCTGTCTTGCCATCAGAGCAGCAGCCCAGAGGGGTATTAAAGCAGGTGGCTCTTTCAATGGCTGGAGTGGGTGTAACTTGGCTTTCCTCTGGCTCCTCTTCTCCTGCATGGGATTAGGGAGAGTGCAGGCAGCTCAGAGATGGGCTCTGCCGTCGGCTCAGACTGTCTCCCACCCACAGTCCGAGCTCCAAACACCTCCTGGACCCTGGACATGTGTCGAGGCTCATGGGGGGTGCAGCCTTGGGGGTGGTCAGATAGCCCCTGCCTGTGCTGCAGGAGACCCTTCCACTCCCAGGCTGCTGGATGGGGGACCTTTCAACATCACTTAAGCCCTGCCTCCAGCTTGGCCCACAGCCCCATTCCCTCCTCGTGCAGGGGGAGCCAGAAGCTGTGGTGGGCGTCGGGACTGCGAGGAGAGAGAGGGAGCACTGGTCCAGCATGCAGCCCTGGGCTAGCTCTAGCCACACCAGCTCTAATTAGGGCTTTTCATCAAGAGCAGTCACTGAGGAGGAAGCAGAAGGGTTGATCACCCGAAGGAGTTTAAGCAGAAGGTGCTGACCTGCAGAGCCGGCTCCGCTAGCTTCCTGGTCCCCGCTGATGCCCATCTCCTGGTCTCCGCTGCCTTCTGCGCTGCCGGACTCAGCGAAGGCAGGCTGGATGGTGGCTGGGACCACCGGAGCAGTCAAGATGGGGTGGACAGTGGTCTTGCGAAGGCCGTGCATGATCCAGGGAGTGGTGGCTGGCCGGGCAGTGGTTATCCGTCTGGTAGCGGGATGGCTTCTTGGAGTGGGACTCGCCTCCACCAGCAGGGACCCGGTGGGTTTCTCCGAGGAGTCGGGGGCCCGAGTGGTGAGCTGCAGAGGCGGGGGGAGGAGGAGTCTGTCCAGGGCCTGCGTGGGCATGGGCAGCGGCGTGGGAGGCCAGGTGTGACTCGCGTGAGTGATGGACTCTGGAAGGGATGCAGCAAAAGGAGGTGGTTACAAGGGGAAGATTGGACAGGGCCCCATGATGGGGTCTCAGCTATGCAGGGCTCCCGCATCTGCTTCAAGCCCTGCTTTGCCATTGCAGGGGCCAGTGGGGAGGGATGGATGGCGTTAGGACAGCTGGAGGTAATGCTGGCACTGCCCGCCTGGGGAACTAGAGCAGAGAGACTCACCATGGCACTGTCCGGCGTGCTTCACCATGATGATCTGCCCTTGCCGGCACGCAATGGTCTTCAGCTGGCACTGGTCACCATAGGTGACACCATCAGAGCCGCACACCTGGGAGGGGAAGGAGAGAGCCAGGGGCTACTGGAGAGCAACTGGAGAGCCTGGCACCTCCTCTTAGCCCTTCCTGCCTATGGTAGAGCCCACCTGGGAGGCCCCGGGTGGTAGGCCTCTGGAAAAAAGACCCCTCTCCAAATATTCATTGGAGTGGTAATGGCTGGCGGGTCCTACTTGGCATCTCCTTGAGGAGAGGAGAGGAGAAAGCGGCTCTCCTGCAGCAGGGACTCTCCGGGAAATCCCTGCCAATCTAGGAGGCTGCCTAGATAGCTGGCATCATGCTCCAGCTGCAGCTGGCAGAGACACCAGACTTCATGCTGCCTTGGCCTGGCCCGAGAGAGCTGGTGGAGGGTCCAAATGCCTGCGGCTCAGCCCCACGCCACAGCCCCCCCTTTACCTTGGTCATGTTGGCCTCTGTACAGAGTGGGGATGGGCATTCGCAGTGGGCAAAGCCATTGACCTCCACGCACGACGCCCCGAACTCGCAGATCATCTCATGGCAGGATTTTGGTGCCAATGGGTCTTGTGGGGAGGATGAAGAAAAAGAAGCAAGTCCAAGGCACTATAAATATGCATGACACAAGCAGCTCCCCTCCCTGCCCTGGCTGTGGGCACACCTCTGCCAGGTGCTATGTAGAGATGTTTTGCTCAGTGCTACCAAGAGCACGTGGCAGACTTGCTCCGGCTCCGCAGAAAGGGAAAGGTCAGTGATCTGGGGCAGCCTATTGTCATGAGCACACAGGCCTACAGACATCCAGGCTGTGAATGGCCATAAAATCCAGGAAACTCTGCTCTGAAGGCCAAGACCCCAGCTGCCGGGCTAAGACAGAATCGCTGATGACAGCAGGAGTAGTAGGGCTTTTATCTATACATGAGCAGTCCAGGAGAACCAATGAGCTCATGAGCCACCCCACCACCCAGGGACCTGGGATTTACTTCTCCAGGGAAGACGCTGTGGGCCGAGTGGCTCTTTGCCTCACCTTTCTCACAGCCAGTCATGCCCAGCTTGCTGCCATTGGGGCACTGGTTGCATTTCATGCCGGTGATGCCCGTCTTACAGGAGCAGAGTCCAGTCATCTGCTCGCAGTCATCACGGACGGAGCCCACCGGGTCGCAGTTACAAGCTGTGCGAGGAGGAAATAGGGACATGGGGAGGGGATGGAGCACATGTTCACAATATTGTTTTTTTTCTAACGATGCTTTGCACCAGCAACCCAGGTGTCCTGGATCTTGGTACTGTGCACTGGCCTGGGCTTCTAGGGGTCCGGATCCCATCATTACCTCCAGAACCTCCCTCCCATTAACACCTAAGGGCCCTTTACACTGACCTGATCATTGCATTTGCATGTACTTGCAGCAAAGTGTAAAGGGGTCTTGCGCTAAAGGGGGACCTAGGTTTTTTCCATCATGGGACTGTTACAAGGTCTTTGTTTGATCTTAGCGACAAAGGCCAGAGAAGTTTTACCCACCAGTTCCTGCACCCTGAGGCTTTGCTACTACATAAAGATGTCCCATCTCAGAGTGAAGCCTCCAGCTGGTAGAGGACTGACCACAGCCATGGTCCAACCGCTTATGACTTTCCCTGTGACACTCTGGCATCTTCTGTTCTATCTGAAATGTCCTGGCACTGATTTCCAGCTGCTGGGTGTCGCTGTGCCTTTGCCCAGACTAACAGTTTCGCCCAGAGCCCAGGAGAGGAACCCAGGCATCCTGCCCCTCCCAGCCCTAAGCCTGAATTGCAGAGCCATCCTTCCTCCTGCTGAACCGCCGAGTGGCATTCGGAGCTGGTGCCTGCAATCTCAGAGCCTCCCTGGTGGATTTGATTCCCCCTGGGGAAGGGCTTAGGCCAGGTAGAAGCAGGAGACCTATCCATCACCCTGCAGAGAAATGGCTCCATAACTCAGAGAACGCGACAGGTGGAAACACATCCTCTGTTGTTTGCAGTCCCTTCCACATCACTCCTCTCCCCCCGCTTGAGCGGTCCTCTCCCTGCTTGGCACATATTGATTTTCTTGCCCGTGTCTCCAATGGAGCTTGAAATTAACATGGCTTTTGTGGTTTACTTCCTCGTTTGCACGTGGGCATCGCCGCCGATGTCGGCACAGATCGGGGAATGGCCCCTGCTGCTTCAGGCCCGGCAGGAACGTGGGGCGGGAGGGGACTGGGCCTTGGGGGGACCTGACTGCAACCTGACACAGAGCTGGAGAGCGTCTGGCATCCGTGTGGGGACGTATCCCCAGAGCTCCAACCCCCAGGAGGGCTGCAGGATGGCTGAGACTGCAGTGGAGTTGAGGAAAGCCCCTCGTGCCACCTTGCACTCCTTTTAAGTCTTACCCAACGTCGCAATGGGAACGATCCAAATCAGAGACCTGGGCCCCACCTGACCTCTAACCCTGCGGTCTAGGGAGAGACGTGACAGGTTGTGTGGGATTTCATAGGGAGCTTGGGGGTACGTGGGGCATTTGGGGCTCGGGGGCAGCTGGGGAAGGGTTACCACACGTGCGCAATGGGTGCCGCGCGTCCCCCTGGCACTCACGGGTGCAGCCGCTTTTGCTGTCGGTGACGATGCCGCGGAAGTTCCAGAAGCCGGGCTCGCAGCGGTCGCACTTGAGGCCTCCCACGCCGGGTTTGCAGGAGCACTGGCCGGTGGTGGGGTCGCAGGCCCCCCCGTAGGAGCCGTAGGCATTACACTGGCAGGTGCCTGCCGGAGTGACAAAGAGACCCCCACCCCTCAGTCCCGAGGAGCCAGCATCCCCAAGCAGGGGTGGACGGACGTCCCAATCTGTGCCGGACCCCGGATGGAGCTGCACGGGGCCGTATGTGCAACTAGACCCTATGATCTCTGCTGACTTCCTGCCCCTGGGGCAGGGGGCTGGACTTGATGATCCTCCGGGGTCCCCTTCCAGCCTGAATGTCTATGAAATCTATGAAGCTGGGATGGGACCACTGCTGCAAACCTGGTACCAGGACACTGAGCAATGCACTGGAGTGCCCAGTGCCTCCCGCCTGCCCCAGCCATACCCTTTCCCTTAAGATTTTCTTCCTAATGATGGGAAGAGTCAAAACCTCAAGGTCTCTTGTACCCCCTTTGTTTGCCTTGGTTTCTCTACCCCAGGGAAGATCCATTAGGAATTATTTATTGGGAATGCTATGGAGGGAAAAGAATAAAGACAGACAGTGACGCCCTGGTACCCCTGGGGATGAGGAGCAAAGATGCCCGAGGAGATGGTTGCCTGAACACCTGGAGCGAGCAGGGGCTGAGGAACAGGAGCAGCCCAGGAGCTGTCCTCCCTCTGCCCTGATGATACCAAAGACAAGGGAATAAACAATCTCTGGGGCAGGGAATAAATATGCGCCGAAGTGCTGAATTCAGCTGCGCCGGATAATTGCATCTTGATTTATGCTCCTGCTGCCGACACAAGGGCATGGGCGGGACGCAAGGTGAAGCAGCGCCCGATTCCACTGCACGGTGGCCCATCGGGACGTCTCCCTCAGGGGAGGCAGAGCACTGCTGCGAGGGAGGCAGAGAGGGGGTGCAGTCGCAGCTGCCGGCCCAGGGTGATGCTAACGGGTGAAACCTGCCTTGCTCCTGGGGGCCCTGAAAGATCTCAGCCTGGGAGATCTCAGCCCCCACCATCCCAGGACCTGGTTGCATCTCCATGTGGTCCCTGCCCCTGGTTTCACTGCAAAGGGCCCCTCTGCCTGCAATGGGGGATTCCCAAATTGCTCCCAGGGAAAGGAAGGGTTTCACTCACTCGGGCACCCGGCTGAGCCCACGCCAAGCGCCTGGGTCATGTTGTCAGGGCAGCATCCATACACGGTCTGGCTGCAGTGCAGGGGCACCAGCGGTGGGGGGGTCGTCGTGGCGGCTGGGCGGACAGGGAGAGGCAGGTTATGGTGGGGAATGGCATCAGCGACCGGGTATGTTAGGGCAAGATGACAAATGCCAGGAAGCCAAGTGGAGGACCCTGGCCATCACTGCAGAGGTGACGGGAACAGAAGCAGCATGCAGCCAGGCTAGCAGGCTCTGAAATGCCCAGCACATGGGCTTGTTCAGCATGACAGCCCCTGGTTGCCCTGGGACAGACACAAAGCAAGGAAGGGGCTGGCTAAGGGGGTCCTTGTACAGCAAAGACTCACTGCGGCAGGCTCCTTGCCCGGTGGCGTAGAGGTCCTGGCGCTTCTCACAGCGTGACTTCTTGAGCTCACACTCGTTGGCATAGGTCACTCCGTCGGAGCCGCACACCTGCGTGGAGGAGGACCGGAGCTGAGCAAGGGCAGGGCAGGAGGACGGAGCTTGCTGTCTGCCCTCCCTGCTGCCCTAAGGTGGCTCCATCCCAAGGGTGGCACGCGGCAGGGGAGCTGGGATTCTGCACCTGGCATGAAGGACGTGGTGGGGCCCTGGGTGAAAAGGGAAAGCAGGAGCCTGAACAGAGCAGGGCATGGGCCTCAGTCCTGTTCTCCCCTCTGCAGGGGGGTACAAGGGCTTCTCTTTGTACCAGGCACTGCCCTGCCAATGGGTTGGCTATGCCTCCATCAGTATCCATGGGCTCCTCCCAAGCTCAATCCCAAGAAGAGGAGAGGGACACAGGAAGGCTGGACAAGCCAGCAAGGTCTGAAAGACCCCAATGGGACATTCAAACAGTACGGAGGAGCTGGGGAGAACTCCCCACCCATCAAGGCTTCCACCTCCTTCTGTCTCCCCCTTGCACCTCCTCATGGCCAAGGCTGGAAGTGCTGGCAGCCCCCATCCCACCCCCTTGCCCAAAGCCAGGGGTGGTTACCGGGCTGCGCGGCACAGCTAAGCAGGTGAAGTCGCACACGCAGCGGTCGTCCTCCATGTCCTCATCCCACAGGCCTCCAAACCGCCGGCACCGGTCCTGCTCGCACTCCCCGTCGTCCCCGGAGCCAGACCCCCCTGAGCCGCATTCTGCGCAGGAGGCGGGGGGATGCAATGAGCCAAGGGGTCCAGGCGCTACCCAAGACAGCCCCACATCTGACTCTGCAGGTGAGGCTGCGCCTAGCCCCCACCTGGTCCTCGGGGCTGGAAAGACCCTTCCACAAAGACAGCAGCTGATTCCTGCCCTGCACCCCCATGGCAATGGCCAGGAGACAGCAGTGTCTGGAGACCTCTGCGCTAGGGGCCCTGAATCCGCACGATGGCTTCTCCTCTGCAGCACTGCTGCGCTCTCCAAGCAAGCACGGCTCCGAGCCTGCGTCTACGTGGAAGCAGACCCAGACAAGATCTCCACTCAAAGGAAGAGCATCCAGTTGGCTTCATGGCACTAATCCAGCAGCTGCCGCTCCCTTCTCCTTAACCCAAACTCTCCCCTACACCCTGGCTGCAGCCAGCGGACAGATTCCTCCTGCTCAGGTGAACACCGAGACCTAGCAGAAGGGCTGGGGCCTGATGTAGTCTGAAGTCTATCTAGTCAAGCAGATATTATTGGCTTGGAGACACTTCATGCCATGTATTTAAACTTCCTCCCCCCCCAACCTTTCCACGAGATATTCAGAGCTCTGCAGCAAGAGGGAGACTATTGATTTCAAAGACTTTAAAAAAGGGGGACCCCCCCACCCCATCTTTACTGAGTGATCAAAGGCGGGGAGTTGGCGTTGCACAGAGAATTATTCAAGCTCGCCTCCCAGAGGGACAGCAACCTGAAAACCCGAAGGAGGGCTGTGATCAAACACCATTTCTGCCTTCCCCTCTCCCTGGTCCTGCCACAGCACCAGAGTCCTCGCTGGCTCGGCTACACGTGCAACGAGCTGGCGGGTCTCAGCTCACAGAGTTAGCTCATCACCGGGGCAAGGGGTGGGCAGCTCTTACACTGATTTCCCCCAACACCAGCCTGTAGCTTTTAGGCCCCTAAAAGAACAGGGAAGCTGCAGCCTCATCTGGGGTGGGCGGCTGGCAAGCCCCGAAGAGGCCTGGAGCTGGGAGAGAAGAGGACGGAAGTGCCCTGTAGAGCTGGGGATGTGGGGGCTCGTCCTGGACTGAGTCGCTGGGTCCGTGCGCAGGAGGTCAGGAGTGGAATAGCAATGGGAGACTGCAGGGGGTGAAGGGCACGGACAGGTTTTGGGAGCGGGATGCCAGGCTGTGTGGGTCTGGGTTGGGGTGGATATGCAGGGAAGCATGCACTGCTCATCCACTTTCAGGCCTCTCAGGGCCTCGTGTCTGCCGGCCATGAGGATGTGGCTCCTTCCTCGAGCTGCCTAGACACAGCCTCTCTCCAGAGCACAAGTGCTGCTGGAACATAGGCCAGGCCCTCGGGCCCCGCTCCACGGTGACTGAGAGCAGCACAAAGTCTCCCATGGGATTTGGCTCAGGCCCTCGCAATCCTGCCTTGATTTGCTGCCGAATGAGTCTCAGGGGCCAAGGCGGCAGCAGGGCAGCCAGTGCCCTGCCACAGTAACGGCTCCATCTCCTGAAGCCTGGATTGCATGAAGTAAGCAATGAAAACAGTGATCAATCTCTTTGCCTAGGCCAATTAGGCAATGTCGCCTTTCATTACTGCCAGAGAAAAGGACAAGGGTGGGTGCTGGGCAGTGAGCAGGATAGAGCACAAGGCGGATAGATAGCATTATGGGGTCCCAGGAGCTGCTCTCCCCCACTCTTTCCTACCCAAATGCAGGGGGGCTGGACCCAATGATCTGTAAGGTCCCTTCCAGCCCCTAACAACTATGAAACTATGTCTGAGGGGCACAAGCAGGATGTCCCAGCTCCCCTCTCAGCTTCCTGCTGCGGGCAATATGGGGAGCAGAGGCCTCCGTCCACGGTTGAGGTGACTGCTGGGAGATTAATCCAAGCCTTTACATACACCGACCTGACAGCACTCCTGGGTGCCAGGTGGGAGAGAAGAGGAACCTGCCGTGCAGGTGACCTGACAGCGGGTTATGGCAGCCTGGGGCATGACACAGGGGGCTGCAAGCGGCTGAAGCTCTGACATGACCTTTTACTGATGCAGAGCCTGCGTTAGGTGTACGACATAGGAAAGGGGTCAGGGAGGTACAGACTGTGGGCTCGGACCGCGTCCAAAAGGAAACCTCAGTCCCCCCCAGCCCTCCTCACCTACCTCCCCAGAGCCAGAGGTAAAGGAGCCTCCTACCGTCCTCACATGGCCCCGTCCTGGAGACCTCGATGGTCTTCTTCTGCCGGCAGGAAGCCACGTGCAGTTCACACGGGTTGTCATAGGTCACGCCGTCGCTGCCGCACACCGGGGACAAGGGCTGCCTCTCGCAGCGCGGGCACATGCACTGCCCGCCCACGCACTTGCTTCCAAAGGAGCACACCGTGCTGCCGCAGGACTCTAGCGGGACGGGGGACGGAGACGGACCAGGAGTCAGGGGCGGAGAGCCTCGTGCTGCCGTCCTGGCCCGTCGGGGGTCAGAGCACCAGAGGAGGGGGTCTACCCTGGAGCTGGCTTGGCTTGCTCGTGGAAGGGGCCGCTTCCTGAGCACAACCGGAGCAACGCGTGCTGCAGGTGGCCAGCCCCTCTGGACACCAAGCGAACAGCTTGCTCCATCCATTTCCCCCGCGCCCCAGGACGCCCGCACACGCTGCATCCGCCCACCGCAGGCTCAACCCAACAAGGCGGTTGCTGGAGCCGTTCAGACTCGCTCCGAAAGCCAGGAATTGGCGCCGTGCCGTTGGCCCAGCTGTGCAGCATCAGCCCCAGCTGTTCAGAGAGGCATTATGCTGTTCTGATGCCTCGTTTGTTCCAGTGCTGCATTCAGTCGGCACTTTTTAATTCATTTGGAAATTGGCTCAGCCAGAAGGATCTGCGCCGGAGGGAGCTGGGGGAGCAGAGTGCTTGAAAGCTAACCCCGGGGCAGGATGTGCTCCTGCTGGGCTGTGGTTAAAGGCGGCTGTTGGTACCAAGGGTCTAGCTCAGCTTGGATCAGGGAATACTCTGCATTTCTGTGGCACCTTCTGTTGCAGCAATCTGGATGTACTTGAATGGGACTGGGGGCAATGAAGCTTCTCGATGCCCATGAGGGCAGATATGACCCTTGTTTCACAACAGAGGAAACCAAGTCATGGGGTCACAGATGAGCTCAGCAAAGCCGGCTCAGGGATTTACACAGCTCCTACTGTAGTGAAGGGGACACCAGAGTCCAAAGAGCCACTCTAAAAGACTCAGCCCTGGGGTCCTGGCGCGTGTTAGCATGCAGGTGCTACACACGGCTTGCAACCTCCACAGCTTCAAACCTGCCCTTGCAGGGTGAAACCTGCTCACAAGCATTCGGCTCCTGCTTGAAATAAAAGCCTACAGCTGAGATTTTTAAAGCCAGCCTCGAGGATTTAGATGCATTCACTCCCATCCATATCAATGTGTCTACATCCCTCAGCCCTGGGCTAGGCTTCGTAGCCTCTCTGAGGATGGCTCTCTAAACTTGCTCTGCTAGGATCAGCTGGGCTAGTGCCGTGGATGCAGGGGAACTGTACTGATTAACATCCATCAGGGACCCAGCCTGAGAGGGTGTAAAGGCAGCTTTGGGGTGCTGGGCCTGGAGAGTTGCAAATAAAAGGGCCAGGGAGAAACTGCTGGTGATGGGAGCCATGCCATCCACTGGCCCACTCCTGGAGCTGTCTCTGCCCCCCGTGGCACACTGTGAACCTGACGGCTATGGCTGTAGAGGGCCTGGGCACTTTTATTTAGAAAGCCCTCTAGAAAACAGGCCCTTTAAGAGCTTTGAAGTGGGCCACCCAGCACCCTGGGCACCCGAAATCTCATGACACTCTCAATGCTTCCTTTGCTCAAACCCTCTCTGGATGTTGTTCCTGTTACCAGGGGTGGGGGTGAGGAATGGGACAGGAAGAGCGGGCAGGAAAGGACCGGACCCCCCATCCCCAGACTCACTGCAGTCTCCTTGCGCAGCCACCTGGATGTTGGTCTGCTGGGTGCAGGCCCGGACGTGGAGCTCGCATTCGCTGCCATAGGTGTTGCCGTCGGTGCCGCACACGGGCTGCGAGGAGGCCACGCACTCCGTGGGGCACACGCATCGGCCCGTCTCTGCCTCGCAGATGGCGCCAAACTGGCATTTGCCGCAACGGTCTGAAGAGACAAAACCGCACCCCCGACCGTGGGGCATCAAGTGGCTGAAATTGCTGGCTCCACAAAATTAGAGGGGCTTGTTAGTTCACACCCACTCATTAACCCCATTCACAAAAGGCCATGAATCGAAGTCCTTTGCTCTCCATTGAGCATCACGATAAAACCTTTCCAAGGCTGAAAGGCTCCCACCTGCCCCTTTGCATTAGCTTTACAGCCAAGAGCTGCATTGGTGCAATGCTGCCCTGTTGCTCTTCCACCTGCAGGGACAGCAGAGGGGATGCCTGTGGGAAGGAGCAGAGAAGTTGTGATGGACCGGGTCCTCCACAAGGACCCCTCAAGCCAGCCCATGTGTAACCAAACAGGTCTGAGGGCCTTGGGCCAAGCCTTGCAGCAAAAGGGGACAGCTGAACACACAGGAGGTGCCACTTTCTAACTAGAGTGCCAGATGCAGCTGCTTTCAATCCCTTTGGCAGCATCTATGCATGCCACCCCTTGGCTCCTGAGCTCTGCCTTTGCTAGGAGACATGGTAATGGGACACAGAGACCATGGGGGATATGGAAATGGGACAGAAAGCCAAAGCTTCCTAATGAAGTGTTAAGGCAGCAGTAAAATGCTCCTGTGGCCTCCACAGATGCAGCCTCACGGGGAACTGAGCATGACTCAGTGCAGTGATGAGGAAGGAAGGAGCAGAAGGGTCAGAGAAGGAAGAAGAGAGACACTTGGAGGCAATAACTACTTGTGAAGTCCATCAGGGGCAGAAGTGATTGTGATGAGATGTCAGCAGAGCTATATGCCATTATGGCTTTGAAATGGGAGGTGGGAGAAGCGCGCAGGGGTGAGTGCAATTATAAGGAGTGAGAAATTAGTCCCAGTATATCAGCGGCCGCAGGGAGAACTGCAGCTCAGCTCTGCTCCATAGCAGCTTGCCAGTCTCATGTTGGGGAGGCAGGGTTTGTATCTGGGAGATCTCCAAGAGGGGCTGAGTAACCTGGAAGTAGCAAGGGGAAGGGAAGCGGGGCTCATCCTCAGCTCTGGATCCAGATGTCCCCAGGGGAAGGGGAGTGCAGAGGCAGCTCTGTGGGTCCCGAAGCTTTTCCGGCCCTGGCTGACACTGGACACAGAAGCCAACAAGGGGCCTGTGGCTGAGTCTCTTGAGGGCCTGACCTGCCCTCTAGACCCTGGACCAGGCTGCGGGCTTGGCTGTCTCCCATCAGGAGAACGCTGGACCCTGTCACGCCTGAACACCCAAATGCAGCAGGGAGCCCTGAAATTGGGTGGTGGGTACCGCTGTGGTGCACAAGCCCATCTCTAGGAGAAACAGAGGTCTGCACATCCCCTGATGGTGGTTTCCACTCTATTCTAGCAGAAGTGTTTGCTGAGGAGCAGCATCTCCAGGCCAGGACAACGAATGGGCTGGAGGAGCAAGGCGTCCGCGCACTATGCAGGACACGAGTCAGCTGCCATGAACACAGCCTAGGGGCCTGGCAGCACCCAACCCTCTTCCTCCCAGTGTATTAGGGAAGCCACTGGGGGTGGGAGGGATCCACCAGCTAGTGCTGGGACCTGTCTCCTTCCTCCGCCTGTGTGCAGAGACTCGGGTCAGAGGGGACGTTTCTCTCCAGACCTCCTCTGTGACAAAGAAGCTGCAGGAGAGACCAGGTTCCAGGCAGCTCATCTCCATTCCAGTAACTCTTGGGTGCTTGGTGATTCAGTGCTTAATTTCCTCTTCCCAATGAGCCTCGCTCTCCCCCCCAGTCGATTCACAAGGAATTTGGCTCAGGGAAGATTTTTCTAATCTTTCTTTCACGCAGCAGCTGTTGCTCTGGGTGTGTGGGGGTGGCAGCACGGCGAGCGATTGGCTAGGGCGTTGCTATCTATAGCGCGTTTCACGTGGCCCACCCGTGGGCTGCAGGGGCAGGAACAGTGGGATCCGTGGACAGACATACCAGTGGCGAGAGGGGCAATTCTGACGTCCCAGAGGCAGTTTGCTTCTGCCCCAAAGCTGGGGGTGCTTCTGTCCCTTCCACCTCCCCGTATCAGCACTTCATTTACCCTTAAAACCTGCTACACCCTGGCCATCCTTCAGCAGTGAGTTCCACGGGTTTTTCTAGCTGGGGAAGCAGCAGCCCCTAGGTCAGGCCAGGCCGGGACAAGGCCATGAGAGGGGTAATCCAGACGTCACTCATAGCACAGGAGCCCTGCCTAATAACCTCAGGGGTTTCAACCAGTTCCCCACAGGCAGGGGAAAGCCCTCCCAGTGGTAAAGCTCGTGAGCGTGCACTATGTGGGGTGGAGGTTTGCAACGTAAGAGGGACGGGGACGGGAAGGACACAACACTGTAGGGAGGTCCCAACCCAGCAGTTCTGACTGAGGAAGAGGAGGATGCTCTGACAGCCCCGTGTGAGGCTGGCCAAGCGCAGAGACAGCCCTGTCCCCACCGCACTGGGGCCGGATGTGTGCAGGGTAGCATTCCCAATCAGCTCCTCAGCCAGGGCCCCTTCTCCGCGTCTGCACACCAAGCCTGGCAGCAACCTCACCCAGATTAGCTTCCTCCTCTCCATTGCCCCTCTGCCTCCCCTGCTGAGCCCGCCTTATTTTTAAGAGAAATAAACCTCCCAAATGGCAGACTCCAGATAACAATGTCATTATCTCGGCACATTGGGGGGGCCAGCTGGCTTCATTACGCGCGTAAGTGGGCAGCGGGCGATCAGTCTTCTCTCGATCCTGTTGCCTTGCACGTGCCCCAACGGACGAGGCACCCGAGCCCACCCACCACAGCCAGGACGATGCTCCTGCTGATGCCCATCACACTCAGGGCTGAGACCTGGGTGGAAGAGCCTGCCTGGTTGGGATGGAGAGCAGCTGTTTTCCTAGCACCACTGCCACTTTAGCTCTGAGACGCCCCGTTAACCTCCCCTTCTCTTGTCCTCCCTCTATTAATATTCACCTTCAAAGCCAATGCACTCCCTTTCCCTCCCAGACCGCCGCTAGGTGACTTGGAGGGGTGCGAGCTCCACTCACCGCAGGGCCCTTTGTGCTTGACTTTGATTTCCTTCTTCAGGACGCAGGCCGTGGCACTCAGCTCACAAGGGTTGCCGTAGGGGCGGTTGTCGGTGCCGCAGACGGGGTCGTAGCGGCCTTGGCAGACCTGCTGGCACTCGCACACCGCCTCCTGGTTCTTCACCACGCAGGTGGCCCCAAAGGTGCACTCCATGCTGAGACAGGGGCTGGGGGTGCCCAGGTCTGCATCGGGGCAGGGGAGAAAGATGTGTGTTAGCCATGCTCCCAGCCTGGCAATGCTGCGTTTGGCATGGCGCAGAGAGCAAGGCATTGAGGGATGCCAGCCCCGGGCTTGTGCTCACCGTCCCCACCCAGGGCCATGCTGTGCCCGGGGTGCACCTGCGGCCTGCAGCGATGGTGAATGGGCCCCGTGGCGTCCATCTGGGTACTTTACACCTCCTGTCACCAGGGTAGCTGAGCCTCCTGCAGGGCTCCAGACCCCACCAGTACGGGGTGGCAGCTCCCGTTACACGATGCCCTTGAGCATCAATTCCCTCCCCAGCTCCCGCTCCCATCCGGAGGCAGCGGAGGCACACAGGGTGGTGCCTGTCACTTGCCTGCTGGTGGCATGGACACCCCACCCCTCTTTCTAATCCAGGTCCTGCCTGTAAGATCTGAACCAAATTGCCAACTCTGGGGTCAGAGAGAGGCAGGGAGCCCACGACAGGGCCTCTCCCTTGCTTATATCCCTGGTGGGTATCCCAGCAGGCCGTCCCCAGGGCACCAGAGTCATGCCCTGAATGTCAGGGCGAGGGGGCAATCCATCTCTCTACGGCCTTGGAGCTTCGGGCAGCCCCGTCCCTCGCCCAGCTCCCTCCCCTGCCAGCAGACAGCCAGCCAGAGAGCTGGCTTGTGGTAGCATGGGTGCCCGCATAAGGGTCTTTCTGCCTTCCATCCCCACTATCTGCTTTCTACTTTCTCCCTCCCTTCCTGGGCAGGTAAAAGCTGGGGGCTGCTTCTCCAGCTGAGTCTCACGCTGGCCACAGTTCAGAAGCCAGCCGAGGATGAAGGCAGCTGCCCTGAGGCCACATTGAGACCATCGCTACTAGCTGCAGAGCACAAAGAGCGGGCATCTTTGACAGCACCCACTGCTCACCAAGGGGAGGCAGCCCATCATGCAGGTCTAAGACACGCTGCCATGGATGGACGCCCTCTCCCACTGCCATGTTCCCCTGCGGCCTCTCCCTGCTACCAATCTGCTACCAAGAGCAGAGCAGGGTCACACCAGTGGGCTCCTGCTCAGTGCCCCCTTTCCACCCACCAGAGACGTTTGCTCGGGGCTTGTCCAGGAGACCGAGCGCTCTCCTTGTCTTCCTTCAGTGGAGGCCAGGCTCCCACTGAGAGGAGCTAGAGATGTGTGGCTGGTCACAGGCTCTGTGGGAGCTCCTTCAATTTACCCTCAGGCAAAAAGAGGTGTTTGATCTCAGGTGTGGAAACTTCCTTTGCAGTCTCCGGGCCGTGGGCTGGCAGGGGTGTGGGATGCAGGCTGCACTGCCTGTGCTGCCCAGAGGCTGGTGCTATGGCTAAGGCTTGCTCACAGCCGAGGCAGGTACCCCAAAGCAGGATCCCATGGACCGCTGGGGACACAGCACACAGCCCCGTGCTGCGAGTGCTCAGAGCAATGCACACCGTGGCCCTGGGGAGCTCGGGGAGGGGAGGGAACAGGAAGGAGACACCGGAAAAAGGGACAAGGGACCAGGGTGGAACACAATGCAATGAGAGCAGGATGGATGCAGCAGGCACATGTTGGGGTCTGAGCCGAAGAGCATGAGAGCAACAGCACAGCCACAGATTAGCACAGGGCGGGAAAGGCCAGCTCCCCCAGGACCCACCGGTGCTGCATGGAGAGCTGGTCGGGCTGCTCCTCGGTTCCCACTCCCTCCCTAAAACTGAGGTGCGATGGACTCCTTGCGCTGAGGCCGGGGGAGTCAATGGGTTTGTTCAGCAAGGCTCATTTCTGGAGCAATTCTGGATCTGGAAGGACCAGCCTTGTTAGGAGAAGTGTGGCCCAAGCTGATGATTTTAGCTGGCGCCATGGGGAGGAGTGAGGCTGGAGAAAATCCCTCAATGGGGAGAAATCCTCCATCCCACGTCCATGCAGACTCCACACCCAGGCTGTCACTCGGAGCTGGGGCTGTGATGGGGACAGCTGCAAATCCAGCTGAGGCTCCGCGGGGCAGGGAGCAGGGACCAGTCATTTCTCCCCTTTCCTGACAAATTCCCCAGTAGCCGAATGGCTTCTGAGCGGTTCCCACGCAGCGGCAGCCCGTCTTCCCCGCCGCGCTGTGCCTGGGGGTGCCACTCGTATCCCTGGCTTTTGTCTCTTTTTTTTTTTAAAAGACGTGTTTACCATAATCGTGCCCGGGAAATGCTCGCAGGCAGCACGCTTAGCCGGGGAAGCAGCCTCCGCCGGGCACAATTAGGCAGCGAGGATGCGACAAACTAGGCGTGAAGCAAACACATGTTTGTTTATTCTAAACTCCCAAATCCCGGCTCCGAACTACCCGTGGGGCTGCGCGGGGCCAGGAGGGAGAGCGAGCCGCGCGCTAGGTGGGAGGCCGCCGGGGCTGGAGGAGAGCCGCGCTCTGACATTTCTCGCCCTTCTAGCAATTCTGCGCGGCAGCCATGCAGCAAATGAGGCTCCCCTCGCCGTTTGAACCGCCGACTGTTGACATTTTCCGGGCTGCCCGGGGCTCCCTCAGAAGTCAATGGGAGTTATCACCACTGATTTCCAGAGGGGGGAATCGGGCACGTGCGTGCATTGCTCCTTCCAGCCTGGGACCTCTGGGTGTTTCTACCAGCAGCAGGTAACAGTGACTCGCGTGGAGTCACCGTCTCCACGTGACACACGGAGAAACGCCACTTGCACAGAGGCGAAGTGACTTGTGCCAGATTTCTTTGTCATCCAAATTAGTGCCCACAGGGCAAAGCGTTGCTCTCAAGACAGCTAAGTGGAGGCTGGGACTTCGGCCTGCTGCAGACTATACTCCCTGCCTGTGCTAAAAGAGGCTCGAGAGGCTGTGCTGATGCCCGTGGAGGCGATACCACGA